TTTATTTATACACGGTATTTCCTTCACGTATATTTACATTCAAGTAGAGAAAACTAACTTCAGGTCTTTTTCATGGCACTGAGACCATGAAAATGTCATTGATTTAACCATGAAAATCCTGTGAAAAATCTGTGAATTTACAATGAATTATTTCACAAGATTTTCACGGGTTTTGAGTTCATAGTGATAGAGGTGCTTCTTCTTCTGCCTTGGTATGGTATGGTATGGTATGGTATGGTATGGTATGGTAACTTTATTTATACACGGTATTTCCTTCAGGTATATTTACATTCAAGTAGAGAAAACTAACTACCCAACTAAACTAGAATCTAAGATAAAAAACTAAAATAATTAGATGAAAAGAAGACTCCTGCTTTTCAAGGAGGCTGTGTGTAATAATAACATATTGCTAATTAAATTATTTCACTGAATCGAAATTCGGGTCCCTTAAATTTCTCTTAAATATAGTAGGGGATGTCAATTGCTGCACCTCCAGAGGCACACTGTTCTATAACACACTTCCGCGATAGGAAAGACTTCTTTTATAAAACTCAGTGCGGGGTCGTGGAACAGTGAGCTTGTATTCATTCTCTCTAAGGTTATAACTAATTAAATCGCAGTGACGAATAAAACGTGAAGTCAGATATTCTGGAGCTGAGCTATTTGTAATGGTAGGCATCATTAATGCTTTACAAACTATGCGCTATGGACAAGTTTTGACCACTTTAAATTTTGAAATAATTCACTAGTACTGCAGTCATAATTAGAGAAAGTTAGAACATGAGCAGCGCGATTCTGCAATTTCTGCAATTTAGAAGATAGGTTCTTAGAACAATTTCCCTATACTACATTACATTAATCAAAGTGTGGTTGTACCAGTAAATTGTATACTTTAAGTAGAGTATCAAAAGGGAGAAAATACCTAATACGCTTAATCGCACTTATGCCAGAAGCAATCTTCTTAGAGATTTCGTTAATATGACACTCCCAAGAAAGATTTCCATTGATGTGAACACCTAGGGATTTTGAAGTCGACACTTGTTTAATCGGAAACTGGTTGATTTCAATAATGGGATTCCTTTCTAGCATTGACAGTCTTTTCCTAGACCGTAAAAATTCTGTCTTAGTCGTGTTTAGTGTAAGTTTGTTCGCTGTAAAGCCATATACGAATTCTATCTAAATCTATGTGAACACAATGCTCTATTTCTTCAACATCATTGCTCACATAGCAGATACTAGTGTCGTCAGCATACATTCTAGGTTGTGAATGGATGAGGCAATTTGGAAGGTCATTTATAGTAAAAACAAAAGAGGCCCCAAAATCGTTCCCTGCGGGAATTAACAAGAAATTAACAATTAACGAGACACGTTTGCATATGATTTCTCAAATAAGAACAGAACCATTGATTAGCAGAATCACGGATACCATACGCTTCAAGTATTGAAAGAAGAATAGCATAGTTTACCGTGTCAAAAGCCTTTTTAAGGTCTAAGAAGACAATTGCATTGACAAAGCCGCAGTCGACGTGCAAAGACCAGCTATCTGTGGCTTCGATCAATGCAGTAACTGTGAAGTGGAGAGTGCGAAAACCAGATTGGTAACAGCAGAGAGGTTTGTTTTCAGTTAGATAACGATATAGCTGATCATAAACAATCCGCTTCAAAACCTTAGCCACCATGGGGATGATCGAAATCGGCCGGTATTTTGAGGGGTCGCTTCTATTGCCACATTTCCTGTAGAGAGGAGTGATCCTTATGCTCTTCCA